ACGTCGGTTTATTAAAATACACAGTCGTTGAATTTCTAAGTACAACGTCAGTTTAGATAAAAAAGCGCCGTCATATCCACATAGGAATTCCAAAAGTCATTCGGCAGTTGTGATAACCACGTCAGTTATGAATTATTTACCTTCGTTATAACTTTATAATACGACGGTTTTTAATAAAAACGTCGTTGTATTGAACTGTGGGAAAATATATAAACTTTTCGTCACCTGACCTAATATTCTACAGTTTTCTCTCACCGATAAAGTATCGTAGTTTCCCTCTCATTTCCCAAAAGCAGCATCATCGTTTGAATCTTCGTCTTCATCTCCAAATCACCATCTTCGTCTTCGTCTTCGTCGGAAGGAAACTTTCTTTGCACGCCAAAGGTTTTTTCTCACTCTCTTCCCTTTTTTTACATTTCATTTGAATGCCGTCGTTGTCTGGAAACAAGATTCTGTCAAATTGAGGAAATCTTTCACTGGTTTTTATTAAATACATAAGTCGATACTTTCACGACGCCAAAAGACGACAGTTCTGTCTTGTTTTCGACGATAGAATGGACACACGACGGTGGTTAAAAACCGTCATGGTGTGACAGTTAATACGTCGGTAACAAGATAAAACCGCCGTCTTATGGGAGAAGAACAATCGTTTTGTGTTTTTCTTTGTAAATTTTAAACCACGTCGGTTATTATGAGTAACCGACGTAGTGTATATACATTTACGTCATGAAAGATATAAAACCGTCGTCTTATTTCCATACATGGTCTAAGAGACTGTTTAATAAGACTTCGCTGTTTTAGTGTTACCGTCGTTGTTTTGTTATTATTACGTCGTTTCTGTTTAGTAACCGACATTGTTTTCCTTGCAGATTAATTAAAAATGGTTTCCAAATCTCAAAACAAGGAAGCTCAAGCGTCAAAGGCCAAATCAGGTTCAAAGGCACAAGGGGATGAAGCCAAATCAGTTTCAAAGGCTCAAGTGGAAGAAGAAAAATCAACTCAAAGCAAACCCTCGAAGAGGATGAGATTTGCCTCAACCTCCGAGAAAGACTCGAGCACAGCCACATTTGTTGAGGGGCCAAAATCCG